TGCAAGTGCAAGGACCTGAGTTCGATCCCCGGTACCAAAAAAATAAAAAAAATTAAAAAAAAGAGATGAAGTTAATATTCGTAATATATAAATGTAAGTCAGCATGTTATATATATTCAATGTCAATTTCAATATAAAATTATTCATGAGAAATATTATATTCCTTATTTTCATAATAAGTCTACAAAACCCAGTGTTTATTTTGAGAGCTGCCTCATTTCAAATGCCCGGTAATCAACACAGCAAGGGGCTACTGTACTGTGTGGTATAATTCTAGACCTAGTGTTAAGGATTGGAGGGACACTTTCATCTATCAGCAAAATATTTGCAAATCTTTATTTCAGTTGTGCCAATGACTGAGGTCACCTGTTAAATGTTGGCTATTTTAAGTTTATGTTTCACAATGTGATATGCTCTCACCAAGAACAAGAACTTTATCTGGTTTGGCGTCATTCTAGGAGCAAATTCCTGATGGACACAGTGTGAAAGGGGGATGTTACTACTTAGTTTTCATTTAGATAATATTTTCCATTACGATTTCCAAAAAACATTGTTTTCTTCAATAGATGTTTATGAAATTGTCTATTATATATGAATGGTAAGAGGGAAATATGTAAGGCAGGTTTTTTTTTCTTTTTTAACTTGATTATGTTAAATAATGAAAATCTAATGGGATTAAGGGCAAAAAGTGCTCCCATTTGTTGGGTTCTTACTGTGCACTTGACATATTTGATCTTATTCTAGCCTTTAATAATCTTGTGAGCCTTATACAAATGAGAAAACTGAAGCTTAGAGCTTTCAAGTAAATGTACTAAGATCAATCATACTGTTCATAATTAGTGAAGTATCCTATCCATATTAGCCTAATTTTAAAGGATTTTGATATGGTTAAATCTTATTCCACTGCATGGTTGATATTTGAGAAATTTCAAATGCACGTGAACAATTCATATGAATTTTGCAGAAACTTAAGCCTCATTCTCAAAAGCATGAGTTTTGGAGGAGATGGATTCAAGTTGAAGCTCCAGCTCTTTCATTTACTAGCTTTTTGACCTTAGAAAATTATTTAAACTCCAGAAGTCTGTTTTCTCATCTAGAAAATGAGCATCATAATAGTCTCTATCTCAGGGTTGTATAAGGACTACGTGAGCTAATTCAGGAAAGGCACACTGTGTGAGGCAGATACTAAGGACTCACCAAATGTCAACAGCTTGTTCTTTTTTTTTTTCTTAATCATCAGCAGTGACAGGCCTGGTATAAACTCTAAATTTGCAGGAATTTTCTTGAGTACTCAGTATAGCAGAATATATTTTTCATGTGTTAAGTATGACGCAGCAGAGAAGCCTGAAGTACTTTTCCATAATGAATGGTACAAACTGTATTCAAGATTGAGAGCAGCTTTCAGAAGTAGATCTGACTTCTCAATATGTAGGGGAGAGAACAGCACTGTTTTATTTTCTAGCTAGGAAGTAGCTTTTTCTAACTAGGAAAAGCTTTAGCCTGGAAAGATGGTGACCCTGATTTTTCTCTACAAGATACCTGAAGTCTGGTCAATGCTGCTGCAGGACTTGAGCTACCTGACCCGTCTTAAAAAAAGAAGAATAGGTTTTCACAAGTTTTATCTAAATCATTAAAGTTCTTTTCACTCCTTTTTTTTCCCCCTGTTAAGTTCATTGGTACACTTTAGGTATACAATACAGTTACATTCACCATTGGGATCTTGTTTCTTTACCTGATGTATCTTGTTTCTTATTTTTCCCCATTCCCCTGCCCTCCCTTCACCCTTTTTAAAATTCTTTTCTATGGTTGAAGGCTGTAGTAAGACAGCACAACAAAAACAACAAACATAAAAATCAACCAGTGATTAGAACAAAAAAATAGAGAATGAAAGGGAAAAAGGCTTCTGTCTAGGGTTCAAGTGCTTCCACTCATCAGTTAGTCTTAACCCTTTTGATAATTATATTATGTGTAACAGAAAAGAAAAAAAGGGGATAAAGGTCTTAGGAGTTATATTGATAAACTATGTGTGGTACTCAAAAATGGCATGAAATATCTTGTTTAAGCTGTAAAAATATATTAGCATGTCATGTTATCTTCATAAATTCTTCTCACACATAGGGTGGGTGGAGTTCCCAAATCCCAAGGCACATTACTAATTTGACTGGCCACTGCAATCCATCAATTGTTTTGTCATATATTTGCAGTCTCACAGTTGGGACTGAGGTATTATGATTCTGAATGGTTTGATAATAGGAAAATTATTAGCTGTTGGGGACAGATTTGTTTCTGAGCCTTTCCTTGGCAGTTTCTTATATAGGAAGGCAATCATTCTCATGGAATTTGCTCCCCCAGACTTAAAGAGATTTCAGATATACCTTCTAATATTTTTTTCTCAGTAAAATTTCATTAGTGGTTAATTATGACTGGTAGGGCTTTCTGGAAGTTTACCAAGTGTGTTGAGAGTTCAACCATGTCAAAGTCAAATAGTCTCATTGTGGGACAGCCCTCTCACTGTATTCTCGGTCACCATGTTTATAAAGGTTGTGCACAGTTTCTTTTTAGAAAGCAAAAAAGACATATAACTCACTTTTTCTTAGGCTAGAAAAATTGTACCTTTTGGTTTTTGACCATTTGCTTAGTTTTTTTTGTACCGAGGATTGAACTTAGGACCTTGCGCTTGCAAGGCAGGCACTGGAACCACTAAGCCAAATCCCTGGCCCCCATTTGCCTAGTATTGTCTGATTTGGGGTTAGAAGTAATTTATTCCTAAGAGTATTTAAACAACATCTAGCTTTTGAAAACATTCAAGGAGTTAAGTACTTTTTGTGGATGCAGCATATCAGGCCAGATGAACCCAAAGTTGTGCTTAATTCTTGTCATTTGTATCTGGAAGCTTCTCAAAGGAGCTAGATCATATTGAGGATAGACTAAACAGAATCAGTTTCTCCAAAGGTGCATATTATTGACAAACAGAATTAAGATAGACTACAAAGGAATGCAGTAAACAATTTTTTTCTCAAAGTTTTAAGCTTCTATTTTAGAAGGATATTTTCAAAGTTAAACAGGTACCTTCTTTCATACATTATCATCAACTTCAAAATTAGTTTACAGTATTATGAATTGTCTATAATTTTTTTTGTGATGTTGGAAGGATGTGACATCCAGGAAGGGCTCAATATATATATATATATATATATATATATAAATAAATATAAAATTAAATAATTCAACATATAATTAAAACTGTACTGAACCAAAAGTTTTTGGTAAGGATACAATGCTGTCAGAATTTTATGCTATTTTTCCTCTTTGATTATTAGAGACTGAATTTGTCCAAAAATTGCTCCTTCAACTTCTTGACTGGAAGACAGGGAAGAGAAATGACAAAGCATTAAGATGGAGAAATGGTCACCATGGCAGTAAACTGACATGTGGCAGATGCACCTATAGCAAACATTCCAGAACACTGGAGTTGATTTTAAACCTTGTTAAAGACTTTCATGTTTTTGCTATATTACAATATTCAAAAATTTGTAGATGAACAGAATTTGTGTTTCAGCAGAATGACCTGGCATAAATTTCAAGATCTGAAGGACATTTGATTATACTATCAAGAGTGCATAGTCAAATGAGGTATGAATTCAAGATTATTTCTAATAAGTTATTTTGAGATGGTGCCAAAGACAATGAACATTGCAGTCTTCATACAGTTTAAGGTCTAGAGGCAGTAGTCATTAAACATAAACAAATAAATGTATGTAAAAACAAACTGTGGTAAGTCATAGGAAAGAAAAGCAAAACACTATGGCATAGATCAGGGGCTGTGGAACATAGGTCTGAAGATGAGACATTTAAACTGAGACTGAAAGAATATAGTTAATAAAATATAAAGGTGTACTTTGAGCATAGAATATGATAAAATTAGAATTTTTCTACTTAGTTATTGTTTTATAGTCATACGTCTGGTAAATAAAATAAATATTTAGGACATGTTCATTTCATTCAACAAGAGTATATTGGTCAGGAGCATGGCAGAAAGCAGATGTCACCTGTAGAATACAGAACTTAGGAGGGTTTAGTAAGGAACTGTTTATTTATAAAGGAGTGACCAGATGTGGGGAACCCACAAAGAACAGTGCCACACTCCCAGGGACAGAAACTGCAGAATTGTCACAATCTCTAGCCCAAAGAAACAAAAGTGGAGGGGCCAGGGATTTAGCTCAGTGGTTCCGCCGCCTGCCTCACAAGTGCAAGGTCCCAAGTTTGATCCCCGGTACCCCCAAAAAAAGAAACAAAAGTGGAGGCAGTTAATTTGGAAGGAGAAAGTAGGGAGAAACACAGTGTTTTCTTGAGAGGGTCAGCAATCTTGGCTGAGGGAGGTAGTAGCCTGAAGTGATCCCCCCATGTGAGAGCCATGGAGTACACCATCCTATCACCCTCACTCTTCTCTCTTCCTGGGACTCCTGTTGGCTGGATCCAACTGGCAACTAAAGGATGGTGCAGGTCAGTCTCCTAGTGTAGGGGTCAGGGTTTAAAAGATGGAGGGTGGATCTAGGGGAGGCACAGAGAAAATGTCCCATATAGACAATGAAAGGAAAGCACCTACTATGGTCCAGGCTCAGTGGAAGGGATATATGATATAAGCCTTGTGAAAAAGATTCATTCTGTTTTTAATTCATCTATGATGTGATGCAATCTATCAGAATAAACATATTGGTGCCAAGGTAATATCCCAATAGCCCTTCTAAAGTTTCTCCTCGTTGGTGATTCAGATGTCTTTCCTGGTGACTGTGTTTTTTTCTGTCTGCCACAATACTTATAATCATACCTGTGACAGCAGTGTCACGGGAGAGCAATGGGCCAAAGTACTGAGCAGCTGAGCAGCACACTGTCAGTTACCCGGGCACTTATGTGCATCGTTACAAGCCCATGTTACCCTGGGTTGATTGTTCTGCTCCTTTTTAGGATGGCCCTGTCATTTTTGTTTTTCCTGAGAAAGGTTGGGGTTGTAGAAATGAAGAAGGGGAAACTGAAATGTGTTGGTCATGTTAGCTGACATTTGAGCAGTGGGATTCTTGTGTCAGAAGCAGAAACGGCTGTATTTACCAAATAGCTCCAATTTTCCTTTTCACTTTGGTGTCAGAGTCTTCAGGAAAAAGACAGCTCTGAAAATTTATGAGCCATAACTTGTTCTTCATTACTTGATCACCCAGTAAGCCATGAGCACCTAAGCCCACGGTCACCTGCAGGTCTACAACTGTTTGTAATTTTATAGGGAATTCACTGGCTGCAGGAGCCGTGATGAGGTGCTGAGAGGCCATTTGTCCAGCGGTGTGGCTGCTAAATAGTTTTGCTAATAATAAGGACATACATATGTATGAGTTCTTGAGGTATAAAAATTTCCCCAGACATGAGCATCTCAGTCAGTTCTTGCAGTGGCCCTGTGAGGCAGGCAGAACAGGCCTGACTGATTCCCATTTCAGATGAGAAATTGAGCCTCAGAGGCCAACTGCCCTGCCAGCACCTATTGCTGAGAAGTGGCAGAAGTGCTGGAGGCCAAATCCATTTAAAACATCACAGCAGTTTTCAGTGGGAGTTTTCAATGTAGAAACTGTCTAGGCCTGCTATTGTCCTCAGAAAATGTGACACCATGAGAAATCAAGAATTTTTTTCTTTCATGGAGTTTTGCTTGTAAATTCATCCAGCCACATGTGGTGGTGCGCACCTGTCATCCCAACACTGTGGGCAGGAAGATCCCAAGTTTGAGCCCAGCCTTGGCTACTTAGCGATTTTATGAGATCCTGTCTCAAAAGAAAAAAATATAACAGGGCTGGGTATATAGCTCATTGTGAAGGCCCTGGTTTCAATCTCTAGTAACCCTCACATTGTCCAATGAAAAATGAAGTGTATTTGGAAAAATATGCTTTATTTGAATTGCTGTTTAAATGTGTTTCCTCTCTTCAGAATATTGGAGAAGGACTAGAAGCCACTTGAGGAGAATATCAGGCCTGTCCCTCTCTTCTCTGTTACAAGAGCTTACTCTCAAAAAATTATAACTCATACAATATTTTGAACACAGGAATTTACATGATCTTATAGTTGTAAAATGTCTCCTGTGATCATTATAGTGAGCACAAATATTGAGTAAGGTGGAAGCACCATAGTTAGGCCACCCCAGTCATTTAACTGAGTTATAGTGATGGTGGTTTGGACAAAAATAGCAGAAGAGGAGGTGGTTGGAAGTATTAGCAACTGGAACTGGGGAGGTGACTCTGTGGTAGAGCACTTGCCTAACATGTGTGAGGCCCTCAGTTTGATGACCAGCAACAGATACACAAACAAGTATTAAGATTTGAATAGATTTTGAAAGCAGAGCCAACAGGATTTCCTGACAGCTCAATGTAGCTTGTAAAAGAAAGACAGGAAGAGAGAAATCAAGGACTAATACAAGTATTTTGGCTTGCAGCAACTGGAAGGAAAGAGCTGATGTAAATGAAGAGAGCAAAGACTGAGGTGAAACACATTTGAAAGGAAGTTCAAGTTCAGGTTTGGAACTGTTGCTCTTAAGGTACCTGCTCTTTTTTTTTTTTAGAAAGCTATCTATCTATCTATCTATCTATCTATCTATCTATCTATCACATTTGTAGTACATAATGATTGCATTCATCATGAGAAATAGGTACTTGTACATAACATTCCTCAATTCTTTTTATTCCCCTCTCTCTCCCTCCACCTCTAGATTCCGTTTTTGCTTCCCATTTTCAAACAGATCTGTCTCCTTGTTTCCTGTTGTCTATCTTTTATTTTGATCTTTAAATTATTTGTATTTTGATTGGAATTGCGTTGTATCTGTATATCAGATTTGGGGATATGGTCATTTTGACAATATTGGTTCTACCTACCCAGGAATAGAGGATATCTTTTCATTTTCTGATGTACTTTTCAGTCTCCTTTTTCAGACTACTGTAATTTTTGTTGTAGAGTTGTTTTTTTTTTACTTTGTTGGCTAGGTTAATTTTTAAAAAAATTTTATTTTATTGGTACATTTTAGGTATACAACATAATGACATTCATCATTGGAAATTTGCACCTTTACATAATCT